GAAAAAATAGATTTTTCATATGTTTTACTATGTGATCGACAAAAATTACGTAGACTTTTGTCCAGTGAGTGTATACTTTTATTATTATGCAACATGGAATCTAGAGAATTTGATGCATCGTCGATCTGTTGGCCTCAATAGCAACTCTAGCCAAATTTATATACCAATGCATGTTGTTGAATAGCGTTCTGTCATTAACGAAGATCTAATTACAGGCTATTTTTAGATTTGACTTTTTTCCTAATCTACTTAGAGCAAATTCCCATTGGACGGTTTCATTTTTAAAATAGCAAGACCTAAATCGCCTATTAAATGGATGACGATTCTCCCACGAGGACAACAAACCTATATCAGACTCATTTTGATAGCGATCCGGCAGTAGATTTAATCGTTGCTCATGCAATGACAGTTTCATCATGGTCAGGGACGGACAGATTAAAAGTTATGTTCGTACCATCTCCAGTATTCTCGCTGACAAATATCGGTTTATAAAAATGATAGGCGTTAATGAGTAAAATAAATGATACCCAGTGAACCTGGATAGAATGAAGTGCGCCCTTTTTCTTCGTGATAGCGGGTTTTTCGTTATATCCAGGAAATTTTGTTAAAAAAACATCGCTATATCCAGGTTCACTGTGTACATGTTTACCATGAGATGATGACCAATGCATACATTTGTTACCTTCATAATAGTGGTGTCTCGTGTGAGATGACCTATTCTCGGCTGGGCGGATGCAAGTTATGTTCGTGGTGATCCCATTATTATGTCACTGGCCATTTAATAGTCACACAGATGTCGATCTGGTCAAACATATCGTCATGCACAGCAAAAGATGTCGACCTGGAGAATCTCGGTTTTTTCTGTCGGCAGTCGGTTCATCAAGACAAAAGTTACTAGGAGAAAAGAATAGATGCCCAAAGGGAAAGAAAAAAAGAATTTGTAGATATGATATTATTTAAAAAAAAAGAAGAAGCAATTTCACAGAATAGATTCTTGCATGCCACGCTACAAAATTTTCTCACTTGATAGGTCCGTGTGTCCCTTTTGTGTTCATGTAACATAAGCAAGAAATTGAGCCAGATGCGCAAAATAGGCAAGTTATATCGTCTTATCATTGCCTACCCCAGTTTGTTCCTGAGCACAATTATGCAGAGCATATCTTTTTTGAAACCTATCTCTCTCTCTCTCTCTTTTTTTTTTTTTTTTTGATTTTATTAAGATACAGAGATAATTCGTGGAGCTCTTTTTCGAATTGATGCACTGAAAAAGTATCCGCAATGAATGATACCAAGGAAGAATGAATGTCTTTGATGATTAAGAGTTTTGTACAAATATATACTATAAAATAAATTTGATGATGAAAATGTTCAACTATAGATTTGCCGTGGTAAATATTGTATGCAAGATTAAGAGTAAGAAGAATAAGAAAATATTTATAAGACTTGCCTGCTGTCCTTTTCCATATTAACACACCCAAGTTTCATCTCTTTCTTGCGAAGTTGTAATCTCTTTATACCAACTCCTCCAATCTTTCTCTCCCAAACACTCACCAATAGTCCTAAACTCATACCCAAATCCTCTGATATACTTGATAACCCAATTGATCAATATTTTCGACGTGCTCTCGATAGGGTCATGGTTCAATGAAATATGTGATCGTCGTTTTAACCACATCCATTTCAAGACATTTGTATATTGCATTTTGCTTGTCTCTACCGTGCTTCCGACCGAATCACCAGAATCGATATCCCATCCGATAACGGTATAATTATATTCACGCAACACGTTCATTAGCGTCGCATTGGAAGCACCCGCACCATAAGGAAGACGGAAATAACGAGGAACCGCTCCGATTATTTTGCGGAGTGCAGTCTCAAGGCTAGTTAGTTCCGAGTGGATTTCAGAGCGGGTTAATGTGTTGAGGTTTGGATGTGACCATGTGTGAAGAGCAATCTGATGACCAGCTAAATACGCGCGGCGTAGTGTTTCTGCATTGTCATATATACATGAATACGTATGTCCACACACAAAGAATGTAGACTTTGCATCCTGCAGGGTATCCAACAAATCATTCGTGTACTAAGTGGGGGGGGGGGGGGGGGGGAAGGGGACAAGATAGAGTTTGAAATATGATTAGCATATCGCATACCAAAAGAAAAGAACCAAACTCATATTGGTTGTCGTTGTCATGTTTATCGAAAATCTACCTTATGCGGTCCATCATCGAATGTCAAGGCAAAACTGTTTTTTATTTTGCAAGTGTCATAGTATGGAGCTAATTCTTTTTCGCAGTTTTCACCAAAGTCGCATTTTGATTTGAAATGAGTGATCATTGATATGAATATGAATGTGATGAGAATGCGTGACTTTATTTTTCGTATTATTGGTTTTATCATTTTAACATATTAGACGTAATTGTTCCCTGGTTAACGAGACAGAGAACATTGACACAACTTAATGTATGGAATATATATATATTTGTGTGCCGTGCAGTGACCAGTGCTTGCAGCCCGTGGTTCCATAATAAAGGATAACCATAACAGGAGTCACAATTTATATAAAAAACCAACTCTATATTTGAATTGATATCTTGCATATTTTTTGTTAACTTTTGTCTGTGCTTCCCGCGGAGGTTGTACAATTTCGCCAAGGATTCAGTAACTGTATTACAAACACCATAATAATATCAGCCCAATCGATTTACAATGTGACACGTAACAAACATTCGGGCCGGCTGAACAATTGACTTGGTAAAATGAGTGATCTTATTACAGTTTGAGCACACCTTGTTTGATATGCAAGTGGGCTTGAGAAAAAGTTTATCCTCGGGGGGTTTTTTAATGTAGTCGAGAATTAGGAATTCGGTAATCATTCACTCCTAATATATTTCCCCGCAAAATTATTATAAATTGTATCAGTATTACGATCTGTATGAACCCCAACTGCTACCAAGTGTGTAACATCGTTATTCAGATCGATCCTGCAAAGGCGCACGTATCATGGTAATTTGTTTGAGCAATAATAAATTGAATTTAGATAGCAATGTGTCAATATTTTTCCGGTTACTGGTATTCACATCGAGCGAGCAAACGTAACAGAGAAAGTCATGCAAAATTGTAGTCTGAACTTCGTTGTCAGTTTTTTTTTAAAAAAAGACAATTTCTATTATGCTCTGCATGGTGACTATCAAGGTCATACTTATGACGCTGGCTCTTTTTACGAAAACTTTGTGTTATTAAATCAATATGTCGATTTACCAAGTGAAAATGGCGTCATAAGCTTGGAGGTTAATTAAAAATTTGTGGCCTGATTATCGCTAATGTATGACGTATTATAGCATTTTGTTGCGAAGATTTTTCATTCGTTTAAAATTAATAATAATTATAGTAAACAATTATCCGACTCTCAATATATAGACATGAGCATGAAAACGCGCAACACGTTGGAAAAATGAGTAGTGCGTAGTCGTTTACATAAATAGTTGCTGCGTACCCTCGGTTATTATTAAAAGAAACATTAATTAACAATTTGCCTAACTGAGTAATTGATTTCCTTTATGGAAGAGAGTTTGAAATATTTGTTTTATCTACCTATCAACATTTTAGTTGGTAAAATAAACTTATTCGTATTCTATGCTTTATACAATTGTGGCAGTAATCAAGCTTTTAATTAAAATCTTTTTGTTGTACTGTACCCTGAAATTATTATGCGTTTGAGATTACGGCATGTCTTTATATCTGAATTATAGGCACGCTCAACTCCCTTATAGCAGAAAGATATGCAAATCGAAAGTATTAACGATGAGCCTGCAAGGTATGTAGACTTTAAAAAAGCCATGTTTTATATCAAAAGGAGCGAACATTGCTTTTTGTTGCATTGCCAGTCTTTATACTTGCAAAGTTACGGAAATAAATTTTTAGAGATGGCAGTTTTATTATGGATAGTTGTAATCATTTGATGTTTAATTCAGCACCCAGAGTAAGAGGCCAACTGGAATTTATATTTACAAAAAAAGATATCACTATTACAGTTTCATATAACAAGCGTTTATCTCTATTTCTATCCTTCAAATCCTATATATTGTCCATGAAACTGGTTGTTGTAGAATTAAACTGGATCACAAATTGTGTGCAAGTTAATTTGTTGGCACACATTTGACTCAATGTTTACTACCGTCAAGATATTTAGATGACGTGCAACCCAGAAATTCACACGTTTGTGAAATGGTAAATTTTTAAAGTCGCATGTGACAAAACTGATTATTTAAAGGCTCGTGACAATATTACGCACTGGGCCGGAAACTGCCACTAAATATACGTAAAATCAAGTATAATGCGTACTTAATGTCAGACTGCATAAAGATAAAGCCTTAAGCCCATGAATGTCTATTTGATTTGTGAGTGTCACGTCAACAGAACGAATAGATCAAACCCATAACAGAGTATGTAGACTGAAAACGGCATCCAAATATCACTTATACCTCTTTATTCCTGACAAAGGCGTACCGATAAACAATGTTGCGTAAAAAGCTATTATCAGAATCAAAGTTTTCAAGCCACTGGATCAAAAAATTAATATAATGCACATAATAATAAATAAAAGCAAATCTGAAATCTGCTTATTAACTTTATTTATGAACAACATGGAATCAGCATTGCAAAAAAACATTGAGCAGCTAAATCTGTTTTGCGATCATGACTAATTATTAATATCGATGGATAAAAAGCTTAAAAAAACCCATTCGCTCAACAAAGAAAATAAAGTTCAGGTCAGAGAAAACCGTGTCTGTTATTTTGTAGATCAAACGCTCATGATCTATTCTGAAATAGATGTATGAAAGAAGCTTACATAGAAAAGACTAACAAATTGATCATTTGACCAAGCCTCTCTCAAACGTTGACGAGTTTGTAAGGACGTCGAATGTAAAGGTAATGCCATCCGATACAGTCTCTGAACATTGTATGTCTACAGTGACGCCCACATATACGAATTATAGTTGGGTACAGCGTTGTTTTCTTGATTTCTGCCAATTAAAACTATGCGCGATTGGATATGTAGGAAAGGTTAGTACTTGACATCTCTTATTACAATCAATGACCCAGAATCAAATCCAGTATTCAAAATATGTAATGATCGTGTGACGACCGTATATTAATATGTCTATATTGTATGAACCAATGAATTATCAGTGGGTGATATCGAAGAATTTCTGATACCCTACCCCCTATTTGTTAAGTTTCTTGTAGATTGTTTCTATATCAAGACTATGTCACGTGAAAATAAACATTACGAACAAACAAACTAAACTATTATAAGCAATAAGCTACTCGCAAATATCACACACTGTATAATAATAACACTTTGCCCCCACCAAATTTGTACCACGTCAATTTGAATGTGTCTTTAATACTAATAGTTTCACTTTCCCTCCTTTATTCTAAACGCTAAACTATACCATGGGGCACTTCCCACCACCAGAAATAGCGCCCTTTGCTTATCAAACAAATGAAAACCTAATAGAACATAGACGACTTACACCTATTGCGAACACTAGTACTCATGACCCCCATCGGCAGAATAAAACGGGTGGCTGGCATAGAAGAACTAAAAGTTCGGATAGCGATCCTATGCAACTTATGCCGGACCATGTTAAAGACGCGCAGAACTTGGTGCCTTCGATGCCGAAAGAGAAAAAAGGAATTTTGGGCCGGTTTACCAGGAAGAGGTCAAAGGATAAAGAAGCTACACCTGAAGGTAAGCTTACTGAGGGGAATGGAGTTGTAGGGCAATGGTTGTCGAGATTGCTTGCATGGATTTATACACAAATGCGATTGATTTGCCTTTTCGTTGAGCGTTAAGGATGTCAATGTGTAACTGAATGAATGCGCGTGGGAGATGTAGGTTTATCATACGAAAATCGACGCATATAGCAACTGTCTCAGTCAATGACGTACCTTCCCCAATGATCCTCCTCCTCTCTATCTATCCACTTAATATCCTTTCTTCTCCCTCTCGTTCTTTCTTTCTCTCTCTATCAATCTCATTTATCCATCTTATTCATTACAAAACAGTCCGTAAAAGTTCAGAGTCAGAGCACTCGTATGTTTCAGCAACAAACACGCCGGCGATAGAAAAAGATGACCCAGTTGCTGGATATGGTCGATCAGTCTCTGCAAATTCTCATTGGGTAAAGGTAACTATTAAACGAAAAGAATCTTATAAGGAGCAGGTACGAGAGTAAGATTTGTTAGTGGAAAAGACTGAAAATAAGAGGGGGAGAAATGTAAATTGTGAAAAAAGAGGTTGGGGGAAACAAAGTGACAAAAAAAAAAAAAGAAGAAAAAGGGACAGCTAGAGAAAAAAAACGTGAAAATCAAAAGATGGAGAAAAGGGTGATGGGGACAATTCGTGACTTTATCCACTAAGTATCCGCTGAAATTCGTTTTGATACCTCGTTAAGATGCGATATTGATTCGAATGTCTATTTTAATCAAACAGGAGGACTCTTTTTATGATGTAAATTTAAATTGTAAAGTGATCGTTCAAATAAAAAATTACTGTTCTGTAATCATCATATTTTCAATACTATTCAAAATACTAATAATGGCCTTTCTCATCTCTCTTTCTCTCTTTCTCGTATTTTCTCTTTTGGTTGACTAAATTTTCCCTAAAGCAATAAACTTGACTCTCGATTCTATGGAGGGAATAATAGACCCGGAACGGAGTCACTCAATACGCCAGATCTGTGTCGATGATGATGTGCCCTCGCTAGACGGTTGGCGAGAGCTACCACCGCCCGGTGGAGCCGAAGGATGGTCACCACCGGAATCATGGGCAGTACGGAAACCTTCTGTTGAGACTGTGACGCTCGTTGATGATGAAGATACCCGGGAAGCTGATAGCGATAATTGGTATTATGGGAAAAGATTGGTATGTTGAGACACTTGGTGCGAAGCAAGTTTGACGTTATGACGAGAATACTACTTGTGAGATACTTTTGACTGATAAATTGATCATATCAATCCAATCCCTTTAGTTTTGCATACGTATATTTCGACCAGATGCCACTTTCGGAACTGTTAGCTGTGGTTTGAACACAACGACTTCAGAACTGTGTCATATTTTGGGGAAGAAATTTTTCATAGCGGACATAACGAAATATAATTTATATGTAAAGAGACATGATCTGGGTGAGTAGTATTATACGGCAAATGAACTTGTGTACATTTCAAGCCTTCAACATAATGTTGAATGATCTTTTATTCAAGGGATAAATGAGACAAATAGATAACTAGTGAATTCACAACTTGATAAGCAATCGTGCCGTTAATCTCATTAGTTCGATCACTCAATCAATAGAACGCGTGTTGACGCCGCAAGAGCGACCACTACAATTGCAAAAGAGACTTTTGGAACAGGCAGGGTATACCGAAGTTGACAGATTGGAGGATCTTGGGCGAGAAGATAACAGTTATTTGGTCAGATTTACCTTCAAAGAAACAATTATTCCCAGGTTTGAGGTAAATGCGTGCTATATGTGTTGTCTTCACATTTTGAAATAAGCATTGACTATAAATACTGATTAATTCCGTATTCCCAATTCCTAGGAAGAGGAATCTCTCGCTCAATTCAAAGATGTCGACTTGCAGATGCGAAATCTGCAAACGATTCCCATATTTCTATACCGTCAAGCGTATTTCATTTACTCACTCAATGCGTCTCGAAATCTAATGCTCGATTTACCAACCGACTTTATCCAATCATGTACGCAACTCGGCGAACTTCATCTCGCCCACAATGATCTTGACAGAGTCCCACAATCAGTCAGACAATCGGAAATGCTATCTCTTCTCAACCTCTCGTCCAACAGACTCAAAGATCTCGATCATGCACGTTTGGATAAGATCAGGGAATTAGCCAACCTAGACGTGGAGAATAATCAATTGAAGACACTTCCGAGCTTGTTTTCACATTTTCGTGCGCTTACCAAACTCAATATCGCCAACAATTTGTTTACGACACTTCCCGAGGTTATATGCAGTATTCAAACTTTAGAAAAACTTGACGCGTCATTTAATCGCATATCATATATTCCGCAAGAAATAGGTAATCTGCGAGCACTAGAACAATTGTACGTCATTGGAAATCAAATAACTGGCACTCTTCCGCAAACTTTCGCCAATTTAACAAACCTTCGTGTGTTGGATATCAGTCACAACGCGCTGCAAAGTATTGACGTTTGCGCTAAATGTCCTAATTTGGAGTGTCTCATCGCGGAATCAAACAATGTCAGCATTGTGGATTTATTATTTCCATGTATATCTCGACTGGTACTAACGAAGAACCAGTTAACTCAGTTCTCATTATCGGAGACGGCTCTGTCTTTAACATATCTGTCACTTACATACTCCAAGTTAACAAGTCTTCCAGATGCGTTATTTGAACAATTAAGATCGGTCGAAAGACTCGAGTTATGCCACAACCAAATTGTATATATTCCAAAAACAATTAGTAATCTTAAAAACTTGACACGTTTTTCGTGTACTTATAATCGGCTTGGTGCCCTGCCCCCTGAAATAGGGAAGCTGTCATCATTAAGATTCTTGGACGTTCATAATAACAATCTGACTGCACTACCCAAAGAAATTTGGTGCTGTCAAAGTTTAGTCACGATCAATGCATCAAGTAATTTACTAGAAACATTTCCTGCTCCATATTTGCCTATGCCATCTTCTCCACTCGCTTCCCCGCTCGCTTCCCCACTTCCGTCACCTGTACCAGGAAGCAGAGCCAACAGTTTATCGCCTACGATGCCTGTTAGAACACAACCAAGTCCTCCGCCTACCCCTCCCCTGGCCACGGCTCTACGAGAACTGTTTCTTGGTGATAATCGGTTGACAAACGATATCTTTGCCATTATTTCCAAGTTTACCGAATTGAGGCGTCTAAATTTATCTTTTAACGATATTGATGAAATACCGAATGGAGGGGTGTTTAGTCAGCATCTGGTAGAATTGTACTTGAGTGGGAATCAATTGAGTGCATTACCCGATGATGTTGAGAGGTGGACTTCACTGAAGGTGTTGCATGTGAATGGAAACAAGTTAAAGTCACTGCCTGCAGATTTGAGTAAGATTAGAAAGCTGGTTGTGTTGGATGCCGGAAGCAATGCATTAAAGTATAATATTGCCAACTGGCAATATGATTGGAACTGGTAAGAAAATTTTTTATATATGCAGTTAACGTTTTACGATCAGGAAATATAGTAAACTGAACTTTTTTTCATTATTCAGGAACTGGAATATCGACCTCAAATATCTCAATTTATCCGGCAATAAACGCTTTGAAATAAGACCTCTTCATGACATAACCCCAATGCGTGATCGTGATCGCAACCTTGCTAACTTTAGCACTCTCAATAAACTCAGGGTACTCGGCCTAATGGACGTTACACTTCTCAAGATCCCATTACCCGACGAGTCAGACAATCGACGCGTCCGTTTATCCGGATCAGAGGTAAATTGTATGGCATATGGTATGGCTGATACCCTTGGTCAGGCTGAGCATCTATCCACATGGGAGGTTGTCATTCCCAAATTTCGCAACAGTGAGGATGAATGCTTGTTTGGACTCTTTGACGCACACAGCGACTCTAGTCAAGGTAGTCTAGTCACAAAATATTTACACGACTGGACTAATTTCCATCTGGTTAGCGAGCTTGACAAGTTGAGAGAGAACGACACAATCGAGTCAGCTTTACGTCGAGCTTTTTTGAGTTTGAACAAGGAATTGGGCGCAAAAGTATTTAATTCAAACATGGAAAGAGAGCATACGCTAGAACATGAACGTGCATCGGCACCTGCGATAGACGATAGCAAAGCAGGCGCGTCTGGTATATTCGTGTACATCGTTGGAACAATACTTTACGTAGCTAACGTAGGAGATGTTGTTGCCGTAATCTCGCGCAATGGAGGTACCGCAGTTCCCATAGCAAGCAAACATTCTCCACTGCAATCTCAAGAAACGGTACGGATACGTACCGCCGGCGGATTCATTTCTCATGATGGATGCCTAAACGGTGAACTCAAAGTAAGCCGTTCCTTTGGACATTTCCATCTAATTCCTATCGTAAACTCCAATCCATCAATCGAAACAGTGGAATTGTCCGAACAAGATGAATTTTTGATACTGGGCACACGAGGATTATGGGATCGCATGTCATATCAAACTGCCGTCGACATAGCAAGAACTGAAAAAGATGACTTGATGCTAGCTGCTCAAAAATTACGTGATTTTGCAATATCGTATGGGGCAGAGGAAAGTATAGTGGTAATGATTATTGGTGTGGGCGACTTGTTCGATCGTAGACTTCGCAGACGACGGGAAGGGCGCGGAGCATGGGACAGCATGATTGGGGAAGAAACGACGATATACATTAGCAGTTCTAATAAAGGGAAAAGGCGTAAAGAGGAGATTCCTGTTGATTCTACAATCGCGCGATTACAAAAGGAAATCGCACCACCCACCGGACAGGTAGCATTAGTCTTTACGGACATAAAAAATTCAACTCTCCTCTGGGAAACCGTTCAGTCAGCCATGCATCCTGCTATAAAGGAACACAATGATATAATGCGCAGACAGTTACGTAATATCGGTGGGTATGAAGTGAAAACAGAAGGAGACGCATTTATGGTCTCTTTCCCCACCGTATTCTCGGCTCTTCTTTGGTGCTTTACTGTTCAGGAACAGCTTCTCCAAGCCGATTGGCCAAAGGAAATCCTCGATTCTGATGAATGTAAAGAAGTCTACGGTGGTCGTCATAACAATGAACTACTCTATAAGGGTCTTAGTGTTCGCATGGGCATTCATTGGGGTGCTCCCGTATGTGAAATAGATCCAATTACACGTAGAATGGATTACTTTGGTCCGATGGTGAATAGAGCGGCCAGGATATGTAGTGCTGCTGATGGAGGACAGATATGTGTTAGCGCAGACGTTGAGGGCGAGATTAGATTATTGTTGAACGTAGACGATGATGACGAAACTGTGTTGAGAAAGACTGACAAGGATGGGGCGGTTCTTGAGACTGTACAATTGGACGAGACGATGATCAAATTGAGAAAGATGGGATTTGTTGTAAAGAGAATAGGCGAGCGCAAATTGAAAGGCTTGGAGAATCCCGAAGAGTTGTGTCTGGTTAGTATGGATACTGATATGCTGTTTAAAATGATTTTTTACGTGATCTGTGTGAATATGTTATTAACATTTCATTCTGTAGGTCTATCCCGAGGCTCTAAAAGGTCGCCTCGAAGCAGATCAAGCTAAAGAGGTATCGACATTTATTTTCATTACTCGTTGATATACTCGCGTACATCTGTTCCGCTACTCACACTGTACTTTCATAACCATTAATAGAAAACCTATGAACCGGCGACAGCCCAAATACTCGACCCAGTAGCAGTCCGTTCTCTGGGTTATCTCTGTTTACGATTAGAAAGAGTTGCATCTGGGAATGTCTTGGCTGCAAGAAACGTTCGCAATTCGCGGGCTGATTATCTTAGTGGACTGTTGACGTTCCATGTTAAGGACAATGCTGATGACGAAGAGTTGATAAGGATTTGTGAAAGTCTTGTTACAAGAATTGAGGTTAGTTTAAATTAAATTAGGTGAAATTGTCGTTGGCTTGACATGTATTAATCGAAATGGTGATTTTTTTTCCCAAATAGAATGCGCTATCGACTCTCTATCTAAACAAGTTTGGGCCATTTACAAAGGTTCTTGAGCAACTAAGTGATGTAATCGCTGTTGATCCGGATCACATTCTGAAAGCGTTACAGATGTACGCACAAGTAATGGGAGTGGCTAAATAATTAAGTAATCGAAGATATTCGTTCTCGTAACCCCCCCCCCTTCATAATATTTTTTGTAAAGTCTTTGGAATGCGTTTTCAATCAGCAAAGGGTTAGTGAACCCGCCAACTAATTAGTTCTTATCCATACTGATACTATGATGGTAGACTGTTATTTTAATTATTCGAACGAGGAAAGCTAATATTTTTTCTCTTGTAATTAATTTATTGAAATTGTTGAGATTTTCCTTATTGTATTTATACGCACTTACTTTCTTTTGGATAAAATGAACAATCAAAGAACATTAAAAGTCCAAATTAAAACAAATGTACTGGTTTCATTGTCTCGGAAGGAGAATGGTAAGGGCAAGAGTAATTACATCTGAGCGTGTTTTAATAATGTGAGCTTGACCCAGTCAGAATTTATTAATCAGTTTTGTGAGTTACAGTATGTGTATTGTTGGAAGGCTGTCTTGGATTATCAATATTCAGCCTTGCTTGTGGCGAATACATTATTATCGAAATGGATACTAGTTATGGAAAAACGACAAATTCTCAATAATAAACCAGATATCAATAATTTTGAAATTCCCCAATTCTAACGAAAAGGAACTATATAGAACCAGAAAGTGCTTTAAAAGGAAAGCAAGGATGAAACGGAGTTAGGTGCTGCCAAACAACTGCCTAAGCGACTTGCAACGCGTCTTGGACCAAGATCGACTTGTTATTCAGGAAATACGCTCAATGAATCCTTAATTCTGAATTACTTGCATTTACTCAGCTATCTGCATCGATGGGAACTGCCGTACCTGCAGACTACGTAGAAGTTGTCACGGTTTAACAGATTATGTTACGTCCGTGTTTTTCTCGGACAGCTGATTCGATTTGGTGGAATTGTTATTATCCCTTATCAAGAGGATTTTCATTTTAAACATATTCCAATGACTTCAAGTGTAAAGGGATTTTATAAGAATACAGTGCCAACCAATACAAAAGTTTATGTGTGCTGAATAAAGACCCTCAAAACTCCAATACAAAAGTTTACCAGTAATTAAAAGGCTAAATTTGAATTTTCACGAGCTGCTTCTTATACTATTCATTTCCACCTTCCTTACATAACTATTATGAATTAGGATTAGAAAAATTGGAAGGAGAAAAAGATTTAATCTAAATGTTGGATACATGCATTCTTTAATAGTTACGTCTTCATTATTTTCGTTTCTTTAACCAAATTAATGCGAGCATAAATAAAATAAAAATAAGAAGAAACAAAAGACGTTAGACTCGATGAAGTTGATGAAATCCTGCTCGGTCCAGTAACTTTCCATACAATAGGTACCTCCTCCAATCTTCAGATCTAACCCTCATCTCACCCTATAAATAAACAAAAATTTTATTATTCTACATCCTTTATATTTATAATTGTAGGGAAAACGGAACAATATTTACCTTACATTGCCCTATTATTGTATGTTCTCTAAACCCCCCCCCCCCAAGAAATCAATTCCTCCGTCACCAGGTTCATGTCTATTTAGAAATTAGAGAGTATGTATTATTATTATCGAGATATATTATCCGGTAGTCACGGCAACCTTTTTGGTAACGAAGAAGACGTTCACAGTATAAGCTGTGGAAACGAAGCGCTTTCAATTCTCCGATTTACACCTAGTGGCAGCATCCCTTCAAATACATAACAACACATCAAATACGCAATGAAAAACTCACCTAGGTTGACGGAGTTCGACACCCAACTCTCTCAAAGTATTTTTAATAATATGTTTCAAATTCTCGTCCTCGTTCGACGTAACTTGTCATCTTGATTATTTAATAGATGAAAATTTATTAATATGAAGGATCGAAGCAATAGAATATTGATGCGTAAAATCATTACCTTAGATGTATGATAAGCTGAACTGATAAGAGAAATAAAGAGAGACGAGAGCGAGAAATGGAGAATGAGAAAGAGAAAAGTCAGATAGATCCATCTTGACGAACGTTCGTTATTACAATCCTCCACCAGCGTCCCGACTCCATGTTCTTCCCAGTATTTTCGGAGAATCCGCGACCGCGTTACTTTCTCGACGCGTTCGTTTTTTAGAAATATTAAATTTTTTTAATGGTATGGCCGTGAATCTGTTCGAGGGGAGGGAGTTGATTTTGTATTATGTCGATGTACCGAGTGAATTGTCGTTAAGCAAGTAAGAGCATGTTCCATGGGCAGGATACACCGCATTCGTTTGTAATACATCGCCAGAGGTTCAGTGCGGCTGTATTTATAAGTTTGGGATTGAACTTGTTCAGTAAAGTACAAATATAAAATTTCGTTACGTCACCTTACGTGGGAAAAAAAGTTCGAATCACGTGAAAATGTTCGGCATAACAGCAACAAACTAAACGCGTCTTATTGTCACTATTACTATAATAATAACGGTTACGAATTGATTTGTATTACTTAATATAGTGAGCCTGCAATAGCGGACCACCGATCATTCTCCCATCATGTCTACGAAACGCGATTTCAGCCACAACAAAACGTGAAATTTGCCAGAAACTTTCAATACAAAATTCACTTAAACAAAGATCTTGCTATTGAGTATAATATATCTGAACAAGCTATCTCAGATATTTGACGACAACGAGATAAATTTTAAGGAAAGAATAGACATTCATGCATCAAATAAAAAAATATATAGTCAAAATTAAATACAGTCAGGCCTCGATAAGCCGGCCGCATAATTTATATTGTTTAGAGTACTCGATAATATAAATTATGCGGCCGGCTTATCGAGGCCTGACTGTACCACTTTGTTAATACTACCAATTATTGCTTACCTCTGAAATAAATAATTCCGGCGTTTCATCAAAATTCTTAAACCGTTTGAGTACAACAGTCTGCGGCATATACTCTTTTCCTTTATATTTAGCAGTATAAACTGTTCCGTAACCACAGCTCCAATCTGTTTAATGTCACCAAAGTCAGAATGTTGAATATACTCTACATACTCATGGTTTCGTATAAACCTGTCCAATACTGCATGTATCCTAAATTCTAACCCGAATTCCCACTAAAAATTATCCCCCAAAAAATTTTACAATTTTCATACTAAAATAGAAAAATTTCGTTTTAATCCGATTTCGTTTTAATCTGTCACATTTATTATTATTATTATTATTATTATTATTATTATTATTATTATTATTATAAACTCCGTAATAACGGGAGAAATCACTATCAAAATTTTGTTCTGGAATATTGGTCCGCTATAATGAGGGAACCGGTTCAACGGGGTCGGCTACATTGTATGTGCTCGTTAAAAGTAAAACTTTTAGTATTTTCGTGTTTATGGACAGGTTTTGTATAACCATATTGACGAATTGCTTTCCGCTAGCCCGAATTCTGTATAACAAGTGATTATTACAACTACGGTTGCTAAAGAATGAGAACAACAAAACCCGTGCGTGGTTAACATGTTGCGAAAAAATCAATTGAAAACTCATATCTTACACACAACAGCGAAAGTGTTATGAACTTGTTTTAATTTTTTCCAAGGTAACGTCACGGCACGTCATGGCACGTCACGTCACTCGAAATCATCATATACGTGGTATCAGTATGGCATCCATTCTTAAATTACCATAATGTTTAAATCGACGCAATACAATATAATACAAATTCGCGTGTAACGTAAAGCATAAATATACCGAACTATTATAGTCGGCGTGTGTATGATTCCAAATCTTACATAATAATATATGGTGCAGAAAAGAGTCATGCGCCTACTTAGAATACAATCCGTAACATTAATATGCATATTCGGCAAGTTTAATTGTCGCCCAACCACTCATTCAGCTTCTCCCTCAGTTGTTTTATCTTGAGTGGTTTGGTTAGATAGTCATTCATACCGGCCTCTAGACATTGTTCGCGCGTCTCTGCTATTGCGGATGCAGTCAACGCAACGATTGGAAGCGTCCGAAGTTCCGGATTTAACGACCTAATTGCTCGTGTTGCTTCAAACCCCGACATTACAGGCTAAATTATTATTTTTTTTTGGAATACCCGAGCACGAATAAGAAATTGGTTAATATATCTCTAACGTTAACAAATATCGACAACACACGGTCAACGCATACCATTGCGCAATCCATCAAAATCAACGATATTCTCAGTTTGGACTCTAACGACTGGGAATTATCCATGCTACTAGTTTGGATATCGGATGCCGAGGAAGATAAGCTCTTTTCATACTGTGTCCGTACCAAGTCAACAGCTTCCTTGCCGTTTTCTGCCGTTAAATAATGGTACCCTAATTTATCCAGCTGTGCTTTGACAATCTAAGAAAATAATAATATAACAGCTTAATTCATTAACATTCTTACTGAATAACAGGCATTTTTTGGTAACTTACTTTTTGATTGATCGCATTATCGTCCTAATATTTATAATGAACTGGTTAGATAATTATTAAACGTTACTAATTGTAGGTAAACTTCAAATCGCTTACCACACAGAGGATACATTTGGGTGCTCTTTCAATTCTGCTCAACTTGCTCGCTTTTTCTTCATTACCGGATTGATCCTTCAGTTCGCTAGACGCCGATCTCTTCATTGGAACAAGTGCGGTTTTAGACTTGGCTTCGCTCTCCTCTAAAGATGGCAGAACGCCTCGAACTATAACTGGTTCGTTTCTATCTCTTTTCGTTGGATAACAGACTGTAGGTCGATTATGATTATAGAATTGACTGTATGCTGACAAATTATTTATTTCCGGTTCCTTGTAGTTCTCATCTCCGGGCTTCACCAAAAACATGCCAAAATTAGAAATACACTCCATCATACGCTTATGCATTACTGGTTTGCTAATAGCCACAACATCCGCTCCTATTCTCTCGATCATACGTTTCCCAAGTGCGTAACCTTCGATTGACCAAAATACCATCAATACAATCGTCAACCCATTTCCACAAATACGCTTAAGCTCCTTGGCCGCATTCTCAACGTCTTTAGCATTACTATTGCTCACGCTCAAAAATGCCAAATCGCATATAGGACCGTCATGTTTCTTATTGTACTCTCTGGCTGCTTCGACTGCGCTTGTATGATCTGCATAGGCATATACTTTTTTGACACTTCCCTCAATCAACATCGCGTAAGCTGATCTTGCCGCCTCCACAGGATCAATTATAAGGACATTTTCAGCCTGTTTTGGTTGACCTTGTAAATTTGTATCATCATTTCCGGATGGTAGCTTTGGTATTGACGGTAAAGATATATTCCCAATATTCCACGTAAACCAGAATTTACTTCCTTTACCAACTTCACTGTCAACACCGATTTCACCACCGTTTAGCTCAACTAGACTTTTGCATAGCGAGAGACCTAAGCCTGTTCCATCTCGGCCGCGAGTCATTGAAGCATCTCCTTGTGAAAAGTTCTCCCAAATGTGATGAATCGACGCTGGGTCAATGCTAGATTAACTGGACAATGAGTCGCAAGAAGAAGAAGAATGAAAGAGGAAGCATGAAATATAAAGTAGTATCTTACCCGGCACCGGTATCAGATATTTCTACACACAAAAGTTTGTTAATATCAGACTCATCATCTATTGCCATATCTTCGCTGTTTTTTATTGATAGCTTTATCACAATTTCACCATTATCTGTGAATTTGATCCTGATAAATTTAATAATCGTTAGAACCGAGTCACGTAAGCAAACTACTGCCATAACTGAAAAATAGCATTCTTACGCGTTAGATAACAGATTCATTATCACTTGTTGCAGTCTCTCCGGATCCGTCTTTACATATCTCGAAAGAGTCTCCGGGTCATATAGAACGACCAATTCAAGCTCCTTTGCGCCAACACGCTCACCAAACAATGTCACAGTCTTTTCTACGAGCGCCCATAAATCAAAGACGCGGTTTATCAATGTAAGCTTATGCGCATCCAATTTGGCCGCATCTAGGATATCATTTACCACGGATATAACAACGTCAGATGCGCGGGACATTACTTCAACCATATCTCGCTGTTCGGTTGTCAGTTGTGTTCCTTCAAAGGCAGAAAGTGCTCCAGTAATTGCTCCCAATAAATTACGAAGTTCTGTTGAATTATTAAACCGAAAAAGAAATTATTACTACCATGACAACAGGAGCGTAGAAATAACAAGAAAAATCTTTCGTACCGTGAGATGTATTGGCTAATATTTGACTCTTTGCTCTATTTGTCTCTCTCATGGCCTTCACTTGTGCCTCACGTTTTAATTTTTCTTCGACGAGGACGGCATGACCGATGGCTAAACTTAATTGGTTTGAAACCTGATGCAAGAAATTCGTCTCCGACTCTGTCCAACTATGATACGGTTGTCGGTATGCGATTATCCATCCCCACGGTGATGATTTCAGATAAATAGCTGCGCTGAGAAAGGACACGCGTTTCTTGAGAATTTTTGATTCGCAATCTGTACAAATTTTTATATCACCCGACAACGAATCTGGTGCCAAATGTCCATCGCAGTGATGAATGGGAGGTTCTGCCGAAAAAGAATCCATGGCCGTTTTTGTTGGCAGCTCTTTGCTAATGTCCGTCGTATAGTCCCTAGCGTTTATACCACTAAATTTACACCCAACAATATTCTCTGCTTCAATTGTGAAAGGTAGTGAAGCAGCCATCACTTTGCAGTCAATATTATTCTCTTGTTCAAAAATACCCTGCACTATCAGTAAAGACTCGCATAATAAAACCTTTTTTATTTCCGAGATGGCAGTATCGAGCGTTTCTTGTATTCCAAAGCCAGAACGAATTTTGTTGCTGATTGCAAACAATAACTGCTTAATTTCAACTTGATGATGTTGTTCTGCAACCAGTCGGCGACGGACGTGAGAAAGTTTGAGAGTCACATGAATGCGAGCCATAAGTTCACGAGCGTTGAACGGTTTAACGATGTAATCGTCCGCACCCTTTTCCAATCCTACAAATACAGATAGACAGTTAAAAAACACGTTAAGAAAGAAATGTTGACATACGAAACATTACCTTCTATGCTGGCTTCTCCTGCTCGAGCCGATAATAAAATTACAGGAATCGTCTGTGTTGTTGGATTGCTACGTAATGCTTTGAGCAGTTCAAAGCCGTCCATATTAGGCATCATAACATCTATTTAAAAACGACGAAAGGGATTCTTTAATATAACATTCGGTGATCCACCCAAAGTAAATCAACTTGGAATCTCACCACTCAGAATCAGGTCAGGCAGCCGTTGTGAATTCTTTACAATTTTAAGAGCTTCACAACCATCAGCAGCGGAAACGCAATCAAACTGCTTCTTGATCAAGGTGTTCAAATAGTTTCTAATAACATTATTAAAAAATGATTTCACGAGTTAATATAAAAATGACGTTGAACAAAAAAATTAGTATACACTTGCTTATACCTCATGTCTGCATTATCATCGACGACAAGAATATATTTTCTTGTACTGTCAAAATCGATATAACTAGGCTCCATATGCAAGGCTGACCACCCATCTGATACTGGTGAGGATGTAAAAGATAAACTGTCACTGTCCGTTTGCGTCGAGCTAATTTGATCACGTTCATCAGGCTTTGAATTAGACTCTTCCTCCTCCTTGTGTGCTTTCTGCGTGCGCTTATGCAAATACAGGCTTGTATCCGAATGAATTTGGTTTTCATATTCTGTACCAAATTCACATATATCTTTTTTGCTTCCAAAATAAACTTGCTGTTGAGGAAGATGGTAAAATCCGGCGGGAATCCAAATACGAAAAGTAGTGCCAACGTTCACTTGGGATGTGACGTAGATTTCTCCATCGTGTCGCTCGACGAGTTCTTTAACGAGAGCGAGACCAATTCCGGTACCTTCATTGCCGTGTGATGGCTGTGACTCGACGCGGTAAAAGCGTTGAAAAATATTTGGAAGATGTTCTTCCGGTATTCCAACACCTGAAAATAGTCCGGACAGTATATTAGCGCGTGATTACATCTTTGATATTACATAATACTACTTGACATTACCTGTGTCGGACACTTCAAGAATCACGCCTGGTCTCTCCCCTTTTTTCTCTGTAAGCAAGCGAACAGTTACGCCACCAGTCCATGTGTGTTTAAACGCGTTCGAACCTAAAAAAAAACGACAAATTGGTTGGAAAATAACATAAAACGTACAATACCAGGTTTGTTGGATTTGTGTAAACGCTTACATAGATTAAACAAAATCTTTTCGTACATCTCCTGATCTAAAAATACTTTCTGAGTCAATTGACGGAAAAGTTCTTCATCGCTGGGGATATCAAGCTTATAATCTAGACCAAGCGCTTTCGCCATACTCTCGAAACTAGCTGCCAATTCTATTGTTAACTTTGCAATATTCGTTTCGCAAAACCATGCGTGAAGTCGGCTTTCCTCTATGTGAGCGAACTGAATTCACGACACATGTTAAAACTCTATGCGATCCGAAAGCTTGATGTAACATAGAAATTTCTGTTACTTGCCTGAAACAAGTTGTTTATTAAATTAAGTAATCTTCGGTTATTGGTCTGAATTAATTTGAGATTGCCTAATATTGGAGAGTTTTTAGGACATAGCTCCATTGCTTCTTCCAAAGGTGAAAGCATAAGAGTCAACGGACCTACACAAAAGTTGCAAAATCATATGTAAAGGTAATGATACGGATCCAGTCAATGAATAATATGAATGGACATACTTCGTAATTCGTGACTGACATTTTGGAAAAAGACAATCTTCTGTCTGTCCAATTCGGCCAACATGTTTCTTTGTCTTCGTTCTTCTTCCCGCGATCGAGCTTTCGTAAAAGTGGAACTCACGCGGTTAATGACAAGCTACATCGAACAGAATGGTGTTGTCAATAAAAATTTTAAAAATAACATCGTGATATGTCACAATGACCATACCTGGAGAAATTCTTTGTACTCTTTATCGAATGCTCTGTGTTTATCGATACCACAGATCATTACGGCTGTTAACAAGTCTTTCCCGTTAGATATTGAAGTCACCGGGCATAGAACAGCCAATGAGTCATCCGGTAATCGTATAATTACGTTGTGACCACGGTGTATTACGCGTTCTATTGGCCATGGAGCAGCAGTGGTTGAATACATGTCCAGATGCTCAATGTTTTCCTCAGATTTAGGAATGGGTATTACATCAGGTGTATTTAATAAATGGCCTGGTATGTTTCTACTGGATTGTCCATGTATATACATATATTCTTCATTTCCATCAGTTCTTTTGACAGCAATTAGATTATTATCGAACGTCGTGGCTTCTAATCGCACTCTTTTCGGTTCGTTTTCGAATCCACTTTCTTGATTCTCCACAACATAAAATATAGCATATGGTATATCGACATTATTTTTGAGGATTTTAGTAATAATGTGACATGTACTTTCAACTGACGTCGTGCCTGTATTAGGATGAACACTTAAATTAGCATTCGTCGTTTGAATTGATAACGCTCCATAATAATATATCAAAATAGTTGCCTTGGGTTCCGTTCGCCAAATCCCTGATCGTTTTTAGTCGTCTAGTCATTAGTACCGTACTTGTTGACTCTGGAACGATATTGATCAATCCTGCTACTTTACCGTCCTCTGCAAATATTGGACTAAGAGACATAACGGTGTATATTTCTTCTAAGTAACCCGCTCGTATAATACGCGTACAGATATCTGGTATAAGTTGGCCATTTCCTGCAAGAGCTCTATAATACAGACAATAAGTCAGACAGTGCAGCGTTTATGTGACAATTGCTTCTGATATTAGCTTTACATACGCATCAAATATGGGTGTTAGGAACTCCCTCGCCTCGGTAAATGATTCAAGTGCTGATCTCCCTAAGGCTAAAAGGGCAAGAAAATTTTATTACTCACGCACTTGAAATAATAAGTAAGATATATTATGCATTCTTACCAGCTGGGTGAACGTTTTGAATGACCTCTGCAAACTCTGATAATAATAATATTAAGGATATAGGCAGTCAAAATTTAACATAACAGTCAATATTAGTATCTGTACTTACTTTGATTGTATATTGAAATTCTGTCAACCCCTACGAACAACGCCATGGGAATCATGGAGTGAAGACACAAATCCTAGACATTAAATTGAACCAGGGATGAGTAATTGTCGATACGTGAGCATAATCCCATTTTACTTATTGTAAGCAAAGTTTATTCATATTACATACAGTTGCTACTTTTAACCAGTGAGGCCAACTGCTCATAGGTCCTAATGGGGTAGATGCCCAATCAAAATTGCGTACTAACTCTGCTACTGACGATTCATCATCAGGAGTTCTCAAGACTATGTCTGATTTTCTAGCTGGGGTAGCTGTAAAGTTCGACATTAGGTTGAGACCTTTTTCAGAGTTACAGCATCAAATGAACGAGTGAAAGAGGCAAAGCGATTATCGAGTAAATTGTAGACAGAACAAAATGTTAGTATTGATATGGGGTTTTATATGCATTCTAAACATTACATAATGGTCCAACAATTGCGGGGTTGGATGATTGGTGTAATATTGACAAAAAGGCCAGTCTAGACGGCTTATCGTGCAGACTCACATCGGGGGATGCACAGAGTTTGTCAGCGTTCATGAGCAAGTGCAACTTTAATTTCACAAACAAAATAATTAGGAAGATATCGGTTTATGCTAGAGCTTTTTAGATTGTTCAGTTTAGAGTGTATCACATGGCCTGAGTGTTGAGGTATCACAAGCCCGTTATTATTACACACTTTAACGAAGTCTCACTTTAACGATAGCTTATAACGAAGTATTTTTCTGGAACCAGTTCGTTCTTAACAGAATAATTTCGGATAAACGAAGATTTATATATAAATTCAGTATAACGAATAACGAAGATTTCAAAACCCATGCAATTTACTTGGGCGAACTTTTTTGTATAATAAAGTTCACTATAATATAACGAAGTTCGTTCTTATTATAGGAATTAACTAATCAGAATCATCATCTCAATCTCATAAATAAAGATCTAAAGCGGTGTCTTCTTGCTACTAGGACCGTAAAAGCTATTAAATTTCACTGTATATATCGAAACTGTGATTGTATTTAAAGAAAATTTGTCTTTCTGATTGATTTTAGCTTGCATTTATTCGACTCTGGATACTTTTCTTTATTGAGCTTTATCAGTTTTTAATTGAGACGTGCTCGCTTAGTTATGCTCGATTACACCATAATTTCTTCAAGACGCAAGGAAATTAATTAGCATTACCAATTATTTGCAATAACGCCCCGATGTACTTTTTGGGAAAAAAGTTATTGACAACGACGTATTTACATCAACTAAAAAAATGCGTTTTATAATTTACTTTAAAAACTACAAATAAAATTTTTACTAAGTTTATTGAATATGGCTGCTGCCATGTACTAATTTTCTATGTTAGTTGCAGCACAACTGAATGAGACGGAGAATAGCTCGAAAATACTCCTCGTTTGGGAAGTGACAAATGTGCTGGCTGCCTATCGAGCTATTCATTTCGGTATTATCTCTGCGCATCCGCTTATTATCTACCGTCTATTTGAATTATTTTTGTAGCTTATGTTTACATCTCAAATACTACGGCTGGCGAACACATTATTCCCTAACTATGAAAATATACAAATTGTCTTGAAGACTTGGAACTGGCGAGATTGTCGAAACAGCGACAGACAAACTTCGAGCCTGACATTTTTATTGGCAACGAATACGCCAGACAGAAAACAGGTTCTAATATTTCATTAGCTATACTAACACAGTCTTTGGAATATTGTCTCCGACTATACTCACGTATCGATAGCAGAAATCGAAGCACGGGATGGAAGGTATTCAACAGCTAATAAGTAAACTAAATTAAATCTCTGACAATGATAAAATAATCGGAGGTATAAAGAACAGTATATTCTCTCAGAGAGAAGAAATAGTTAAATTTGCTGTCTTGGCCAAAGGAGCGTAAGGAGTGTTAATCACGCAATCGACTTTCCGTAAGACCCGATGCTGTTGATGATACAATGCTGCCAGCACTTTGTAACACGCACAATTAATGTGGATCTTTATATTAATCGAAGAAAAGCAATTGTCAATATAAGCAATGTTTAATCTAAAGGTTGACAATGAATAAAAACACATATTTTATACCCGTTATAATAATGGGCTTTCAAAAAACGGTTTCTCGAGATTTGCGACATGAATGTTGCGACCTTGAAATAAGCGCAATTGATGTCATTATTGTTAACTGTGCAACTCTTATATTACCTTATAAATTTAATTTTGGCTCAGAAAGTCATGACAAGCAAGAGGCCTTCATATTCATGCGTCCCATACGCAATTTTGAAGAGAGCATTAACCTGTTGTATAATAATTTAGGGCTTTCTGCGTGCGCGTGCGCGTTGTTTTTGTGGGTGGTTTACTTATAATAATATAATGTGTTTCTCCACGTACGATAAAATACGTTGAGCTCACCCGCAAAAATTAGATTTTTTTTTTACTTTTAGTTTCAGCGATATAAGTTTTAAAGTGGAAACACATACTCTTTGTTCATTGTTAATTGTTGACGGAAAAACCCTGCTCAAAAAATGAAACAAATATCAAATATATTATCTAAAACTTATAAAATTTCTAATACAAAACCGATGTCACGTGTTTATTTTGTCAAGTCGATTTTTAAATAGATCCATTGGGACATCTTTATTGGTGTAAACAATTCGATAATGTAAGGGCAGCCTCATTTATAGGGTGATCTTATTTGGTCCCGTTAAACCGAAATCGATGATCCGAAGTTTTCATCATTTTCGCCAGCGACAATTTGGGATATACTGTATAATATATCCGCCATTTGCGTTAACTCGAACCGTTAATCTGTGATCTGATCTAAAGGTATTCTTCTACGGCGTTAATAGTAATAGTAATTGAAATGT